ACATTAATCCATTTAATTCTCATAGAAACCCAGTGTAGTAGGTACTATTATTGTATCATGATTTTATAGAAACTGAGATAAAGGTGGTTTCAGTAACTTGCTCAAGGTCACATAGGCAGTAAGTGGCAGTAAGCTGAGACTTACACCCAGAACTCAGATTCAGATTCTATGCTCTTAACACTACCTAAGCTGTGAGATTCATTCCTTCCAGGAGCATGATATAGAAGAAAAGATGTGCTGTAGAGAAACACTGAAGTCTGAATAATGTCTGTGAATGAGAAATGATACAATAAGCAAAATGATCCTTATTCATGTTGCTTTTATCAAAGAGTTTAGGATACTTCATACATTTCAAAATTTTTGAATAAAAGATGCTGTACACATTTATTTTTGAGTATAGGTCCAATACACTGCCATCAAACTAATTTTGCTGGATAATCTATTGCTGAACAGAATGAATCAATATCCTGGACTTATTTCCAATTTATTTATTTTTAAATTTTTATGTATATGTATTTTTATTTATTTATTTTGAGATAAGGTCTTGCTCTGTCACCCAGGCTAGAGTGCAGTGGCCCAATCACAGTTCACTACAGCCTCAACCTTCCCTGCTCAAGCAACCCTTCAAACTCAGCCTCCTGAGCAGCTGGGACCACGGGCACACACCATCACACCCAGCTAATTTTTGTACTTTTTTTAGAGATGGGGTTTTGCCATGTTGCCTGGGCTGGTCTCACACTCCAGCGCTCAAGCAATCCAAATCCACCCACCTCAGCCTCCCACAATGCTGAGATTACAGGCGTGAGCCACCTCACCCAGCCTGGTTTCTGCTTCTTTTGCCTCATTTCTTACTAGAAGCCAGGGGATTTTGCTTGTAGAACATCCTCCCCTAAACTTGAAAAGATGCAACTCAAGCTGAGTCTCCTGGCCTATTCTTGTCCCTGGAGCAGACCCCTGCCCACACAGCTGAGGGCACTCCTTCCCTCGTTGATCCCCTGAGCCAAGAGTTTCATGAAATACATGAGAACATTTTAGCCCCACTCCTGTGGCCATTTCTCTGGGATACCTGCCTGGTACTTTCCTTCATGGACACCCTGTTGTTCTTATGCAAAAATGACTAGTTCAGCCCCAGCAACCTCAGAGCTTGGTGTGCCCTGAGGGCAGTCACACCCCATTTGCCCATAGTTGTAACTGACCACTCTGTTGTTATTGTGAGACTTGTGGAAGTTCTTGGCAGAATGATGATGATGATGGTGAGGATAAATAACATTCACTGAGTATTTATTTTAAGTGTACATATAAGTACTCAAGGAATGACTATAATTCACAAGATATATCTAAGAGTTCTAAATGTATCTCGTATCCTCACAACATTTCTAGGGGATAAATACTATTATTATCTCCATTCTACAGATGAAGTAACTGATTCAGAACATGAAGTAACTTGCCCAAGGCCATATAGCCAATAAGTATCAGTTCTTGGGCTCAAATTAAGAGGCACAGGTGTCAGTTTCAAGATTAGACTGATACCCATAAAAGTACCCACAATGTGACTGTGCATAGTCAATGCTTGCTAAAAAATCTTGTGGGCGATGATTTGCTTCAAGAGATAATGAGTTTTTGCAAGCCTTCTTCCTTTCTCCTTTCCAGTTGTCCTGCACCTTCATTCCATCAGCCTTTATATACCCTGCCATGTGCCCAACAACAGGCTGTGTCCTGGGCATCCAAAGAGAAGCAAGACCAAGTCCAGTCTCAGCAAAGCCAGGCAGGAAAGCAGGATTTCCTGAGAAGTTCTGTGTCTCACCTGCTAGTGGGCCAGGAGAGAGGGTGCTGTTTCCCTAGTCAACATACTCTGCTCTTAGGCTTGTGTACAGGAAGGTGCTGCCCATGTTCCATCCCCGGCATGAAAATAAATGTTCTAGTACCTGAACTCCTGTTGTCCTTATAGTTAGCATCACACTGTCACTCAACTATCCTGATGTGGGTTTATGTTTCCCCACAAAATGATCACCTTTTTAAAGGGAGAAACAAGAAATCTACATTGTGAATTTAGTAGCTGTGTGATCTTCGTTTCTCTGATTTTTAGTTTATGTCTTTTATGCAAAGAAAGAGAAAGGAAGGCAAGACAAAAGGAGGGAAAGAAGGAAGGGAGGGAGGGAAGGAAGGAAGGGAGGGAGGGAAGGAAAGAAGGAAGGAAGGAAGGAAGGAAGGAAGGAAGGAAGGAAGGAAGGAAGGAAGGAAGGAAGGGAAATGGATAAGGAGAGAGAACAAAACATGCCTTGCTTACTTCACAGAGCTATTATAGGATCAAATAAAGCTATACTGTAGGCACAAGAGGACTAAATATTATCTAAATGTGAGGGCTTTAGTATATTCTCACCATGGAATTTAAGGTTCTGAGTAATGCTGCCTCACCCATCTTTACCCCACCACACGTGCCCACATAGGTGCAGCCATGTCTTGCAATTGCCCTGAACTCACCTGCCTCCTTGCCTTTCTTAACACTCTTTCCACTGCCTGGAATACTCTCTCCCCATCTCTGTCTGCTGACGTGCTACCTTGCTCCAGTGCCACCTCTTTTATTCTAAAAGAGTACCCCTTTTCTCTTTTGTACCGTTAGATGTTGGGTATTTCTCACAAAATCACACTTAACACTGGGACTAGAGCTATTTGTCATCTATATCTCAGGCTTCCCTGCCGAGGTATGCTGTGCATATATCAGGTGTTCAATAAGATGTTTATTGGATCAAATTCTGCTTACCTTCTCTCTGCTCTTCCCTGCCTGCCTCCCACTTCCTGTATCTACTTAATACATCACATGACACATGGCGGGCACCTTGTGCATATGTCTGGGGAGCTTTAGGGTCAGCATATTCAATGGACAATCTCCATAGGTCAAGGAGAGTTAAGCCTTTGCCTTCAGTTAAGTCAAACATCACAGGGAGGGTATAAAGTTTGGTGAACAAAGTGATCATACCCTGTTGAGTGGGAAGGAAGAGAAGAACATTTCCCAAAGTGCAGACTGCAGATCAGTAGGCATACCCAGATGATTTTAGGTGACATACAGGTGAACTTTCTTTTTCTAAATTACCTACTTTTACGTATAATAAAAAGAAATATAATTAGCACGTCGAACTTATGATTTCATAGATATTCTTTAATAAAAGCTCCTGAATTTGAATAAAAATGATTTAAAGAGAAACATACATAAATAATGGTATGGGGTATGACCAAATGATGTGTTGAGGGTGCTCCGAATTCCAGAAGCACCGGGCTAGGGAAACACTTCTGCAAGTTATGGAGGTGGAGAGAAGGATAAAGCCGTGCTTGTTCTATGGGTCAGATCTACTAGTGGCAACCGCAGGTTAATAGAATTACTTCCAAAGCTGTGCTACTGTGCAAAAACGTTTGTTTGAAGGGCAGACTGCAAATGGAATGCTTTCTCATCACTATTGTTTCTTCATTGGAAGGAAGAAATATGTTGGAGAATGTCGATTCAAACACATCAAGCATCACAGCTTTGGACACCAGGTTTCCTAACAGCCAGTGGAGTTTTATACCTTTTCCCAGGACTCGCAGATACAAAGGACCCAGATGTGGGTTTACTTTTCCTTTTTTCCTGCAAAGCACAACACTTTACAAAAAAGAAAAACACTTCAAAGGCAGTCCTTTTCTCGCATGCATTTCAAGGCTTCATTCAAGATCCACATTCATCTTCCTTATCCAATTACAGGATCAAAGCAGAAGTGTTTGGCCTACTTTGGGGGTTTAAAGACATCCAGGGAAAAACTAAGACCATTTAAAACTACCTTTTTTGATGCCACGCATCTTCCTGTAGAAGAATTGGAGTTGGTTCCCCTTGCTCTCTCTTAAGTCATCTCTGGGTACAAAAAGTCAGGTCAGGAAGCTAACATGCTCTAATCATCGGCAACATGAAAGATTCAGTTACATCTCTGTAAAATCCAATCTAATCTCAGTCAGTGTGTCTAGCGTACTTTTCCTCTCCACACTGCTGCTTTTGGAGTTTCTTCCAAAACCCACTGCTAAACTCTTGATTTTTCCTGATTAGTTTTTTAAAATTCTGCATTAAAATAAAAACTGCAAAAAAAAAAAAAATCTGAAATGTCATTTCATTAGTCTCCCTAAAGCTAGTGGATCTAGCACATATGTTCATTTTAATGCTCAATATGGAGTTCATATTTCCTAAAATAGGACATGCCTTATCTTTCATATTCACACTCTGGGATCTGAGGTCCTGGTTTAAAAAAAAATAGCATATATGATGTCCTCAATAATATTTAAGTGAACAGACTGGCTATTGGTGGATTGATTTTTCTCTATGGAAATAAATCTGTTGGCAGCCACCAGAATTGGGGTATAAAAGATGACCTCGGGCAGCTGCTGCCATTTGTTTTGGTGGGAAAATGAGGGTTTTGTCTCTCCCCGGGGGTTAATACCGTGATGTTCTGAACACCATCAATGCTCCGTTTCTGAAGGGTTACACTGGAGAGGAGGAATGCTTTGTGGTTTATGACAAGATCACGGCAGAATATTTTGTGCACGCAGTGATTTGTGTCACCCATTTGTGCACAGGCCATAAAAGTGCACTTTTTATCAGGAACATTTGTGAATATATAACAGCACTGAAGACATATGGCCACTAAATAATTCACAGTTATCTATCTTCTCAGCAGATTCCTTATACACCTACCATGTTTTAATGCCTAGTTTGCTCAGAAACAATATTCTTTATGACCCTTCCAATATAAAAATGTTTACTGACTGGCAGCAATATATGGATCCCATGGGATGGAGCTATGAGGAAGTAGAAAGATTTCTGCATTCTCCAACTCTCTCCTTCTGTATCTGTTTTTCCCTAACTCTTCCAACCAGCATCCAGCATTACAGGAGAAGATACCTCTCCCCAAAGTGGGTGCAAAATCCTATCTGGGCTGTGAAATGAAAGTCACTAACTAACCTCCACCCTCTTCTCTTTTCAGTTCTATATCCATTTACAGTCCCAAGGAGAATCCAAATGCATTTGATGCCGCAGCATTCTTCCAGTCTGTGGGGAATTTCCTGGGGATCTTCGCTGGCTCATTTGCAATGGGGTCTGCGTATGCCATCATCACAGCACTGATATCCTTTGTCTGTATGTGGAAAGCTGAGACTGTCAAGAACAGTCAATATCCGTGGAATGCTTCTGATGATGGACAACCTCCAGGTCCATAAAAGGCTAGATAGTCTGGTCCAAGTTTCATACGGCACCACTGGTGCCATCTTGGTTCTGAGTCATCCCTGGAGGCAAAGGTTGGTACCAGTGGCAAATGGGCCCAAGCTCGCTTCTTGCCCAAGGTCAGTTCTAATGCTATTGACACTATCTGATCCTAGGACATCAACAACCTTAAATAAATACCACCTAGGAAAACTAGTTAACAGGAGGCATCAGGATTGGCCTTACTAGGGTCAAGAATAAGACAATTGACTAAGGGTAATAAATTGGGTATGATCTGCCTCTTCTTCAGGCTTATTCAATCACTAGCTTATAGGGTAGCTCAAGCCAGAGGTCACTGTGGGTCTCAACAAGCATCCACAGCTACTTTATAGAAAGGAACCTGCAAGCAATGCTGAAATATGTGTGCCATACCTGAGCAATCATGTCATTTGATTCCTTTTTGTTGTTAGGAAGTTGGGATGATAGGTAGAGTTTCTAGAGAATCTGAGCCAAAGAAAGAAGCTGGTCTGGTGGGCTGCTCACTTAGAACACTCAGACAGGGCAAAAGTAAGTCGGGGTAGAGGAGGAAGGGCAGGAGGCCAATGTCAACTATAAGGGTTAGGTGGAGCCACAGAAGAGAGGTAGAACAGAAGATCAAGGACCAAAGACCTCAGGGGAAGGAGAAGGAAGAAGTGTGCCAGAGGGGTGAAGGCCCCAGGCAAAGAGAAGGCAAAATATTGGGGGCCTTTTTCTATGGGATCTCGCCCAGACATTGGCTGCTAAAAAACTTGGTTCTACTGGGGGTATCTAAGAAGAGTCAGGAAATGCGTAAAACAAGGACCCTGGCCTCAGTGAGTAACAGGCTTGGAAAGATGAGCTCCACATTAAGACTGGGATAGAAAGTGAGTGCCAGAGCCACATCGAAGTTATCACACTGTAAACACTCAAACTGGGACGAGGCCATTGTGTCTGAAATAGTATAATACCCTTGGCCAGCCTTATGATTCTGGAAAATAATTTGAAAAGCAGTATTTATAAGCAGAATGGGTTCTGGGCACGCCCTGTAAGATAGAATAGGGGCAAAGGCTGAGCAGTCGGTGACACAGGAGGCAAAGGCTCACTAAGTCTATTCACTAAGGTATAGCAGTGGGACAAATGTGGCATCTGGAAGGCATGCCTGGGGCGACCACAGGGCTCCAGCTGGTGAGAAATGGAGGATGAGGGTACTTGGGTGGGATGGAGTCAGCTTGTGGAGTATCTTGAAGTGGTATTTCAAAGAGTCTGAGCCTCTTTCTGTAGTCCACAATTAGCTGCCAGAGGTTTCTGCTCAGGAGAGTGACACACTGACAGTCCTGTTTTTAAAATGTAGATGAGGAACTGGCACAAAGGATGAATCAGAGGAAGGAGATGAGAATCAAGGGAAACTGTGATGACGAACTGTGGGGGAAGCATCAGGAAGGGGACTGATGTTTAGAAGGAAAAATCTCTAAGACTTAGTGATTGGTTGGTTATTGGAGACAAACGAAAGGAGACAGTCAAAGGCTACTCCAAAGTTTCATCCTGAGAACCTTGTAAAATGGCATCTCCATTGATAGAAATAAAGTCAGTCAGAAGAGAGAGTGCTGGTTTCCGACAAGAAAAAATGACCTACCCAGTACTTATGCTGTGACAGGCCAACTACGATGTGTTTTCCATGTGGTGTCTCATCTAACCTTCACAATGATCCTATCACCAGATGCTATTTTTATTGGTTGTGAAGCTTAGAAAGGGTAAACTGTTGCCCAAGGTCAGGCAGCCAGCCAGTAAACCCAGAGAGTGAGAATCAAGAGGACGACCATGCTCTGGTCACTGCTCCCTATTGCCTCTTCATTCTTTGTTGGAACTGTGTGGAGGCCAGGCGTTGTTTAGAGTACAGTAATAGCAACAAGGATAGGAACATTCTGTGAGTGTCTAACATGTGCCAGAGCCTTTCTATGCATCTCCTCATTTGAATCAACCCTGTAAAACAAGTTATTATCCTCCTCACCTTACACCTGAGGAAACTGAGGCTCAAGGAGGATACGTAGCTCACTCTGGATCACATGTAAGTAATAGTGAGCACGTTTATTGAAAACGTTACTATATGCTAGCCATTGCCCTAAGTGTTTTGCATGGATTATCAGATAAGTTTTACAAGAACCCTGGAAGGTAGATACTGTTACTATCCCAATTTTACAGCTAAGGAAACAGACAAAGTTAAACAACTTGGCTAAGGCCAAACAACTAGAACATTTCAGGGCCAGGATTCAAACCCAGACTTTTGGGCTCTGGAGGCTACACTAAGTGGAGAAACTAAAATCGGAATTCTTCTCTGCCTGACATGAGGAGAAGGTGCAACACGTGTGAACAGGTTGATAAGGGAAGAAGAAAAATTCCTGGAGATTGGAAGTCTGGCATAAGATTGGATCAGATCTGAAAGAAAGGGTGTAGAAACAGAAGAAATGGGGGCTCAGTAACAGTGGTGATATCAATTGTGCAGTATTTGGTGGTCTTTAACAGGCTCTACAAACACAGGTTGTGAAGGAGGTAGATGCTTACTGTTGTCCTCCTCACCTTCCTAACTGCATACCTATTTCATTCTGAGGCAGTCTCCTCAGGTTGTAGGCCCCTGAGCTCTGCAACTAGGGACTGACCCAGACCTGATCTACTTTCTGGAGGAGATAGAAAGAAAAGAATGTTAGATAGCCGATTGCTATTTTGTTACTCACCTGCCCTGAACATTCTCTTTAAAACAAACTAGAAGAGTGAATTCAGAAGAACAAACCTCACTAGAAACAAAGACTTCCCTCTAAGTAACAAAAGGGAATATTGTAAAAGGATCTCAGGGCAGCCTGATCTTTACAGCAGATAAAGAATTGCTTCCAGGTCCTTACTGATGCTATTTCCCAAAAAGATGTTTTACCAAAAAAAAAAAAAAAAAATTAGACCACAGTAGACAAGTTCATATCACTTGTTGCATGCCAGGCACTGTTCTGAGTACTTAACATATGTTAACTAGTTTATAGACCTCTGAGGTAGGTTGCATTATTATTCCTGTTTTCAGACAGGAAAACTGAGGCACACAGTGATCAAGAGATGTGTCCAAGGGAATACTGTGAATTTTAATCCAGGTAGAGTTGACTTCCAAACGCTACACTCCCATCCATGATATTATTTTGCCTTTGTGCTTTCTAAAACTTTACAAAACATGTTTAACATACTTCATCACATTTTACTTACCTCATGTAGGATCATTTTACTTACCTCATGTAGGTATTATTCTCATTGTCAGTTTACGTAGAATAGAAATGAGGCTCAGAGAGGTTAATATACTGCTGAGAAATCACACAGCCAGTCACTGGCAGAGTCAAGAATCAGAATAAAATGTTGTGTTCCAGAGGTCACACTTTTACTTCCCTGCTCCCCTGCTAAACACCTCTTAATGTGAAATTTTCTTTAGATTTTGTTCTAACAGTATAAAAATGCAACACGATCACATCTCCTTATTTGTCAGGGCATTTTGTGCCTAATATTGACACAATTGCAATGTAACCCTTTCCCATCGATCACATACTCCTAATCATCTCCCCATGACCCCTTCTCTGCCCAACTTGGATCCTACTATCCCTTTGTTCCATTTGCAATTTATAGACCATTGACCAAGTGTCATCCTTGTCAAAATGAACCATTGCCTGCCAAAGGCATCTTGTCTGACCTGGAAATAATGTACCTTCTCTTTATCGTACTTATACTAAGAAAGCATGGGCAGCTTCCCTGTCACTGAATGTAACTTCTCCTTCTGATCCTACTTCCATCCCCAGGCGAGAAGATTCTACCAAGCGGTCTGCCCGCAGACTGCACTCCCCAGGGAGCAGCGCTCCTTGGTCCTGACATACTTGCAGCATCTCATCTCCCCACATTCTCCTTGGCTTTGTTTTTCCATGCCTGCTACACCTCTCCTGAGGGGGTGCATCCCAAGGAACGAGGCTAAGCCCACAGTGGGCTGAACTGATAGTCTTAGGAAGACACCTTTTTAATCTGAACACAGGTTTGAATTTTTACAGGCAAGTTCAGCCCCCGGTGAAGCATGGAACTCATGCTGGCCTTCAAAGCGGGTCCCAGTAAGAATTACAGCCTTCCAGTCAGGTCTGAACATCAGTTCTTTTACTTTGCTCTGGAACTATCATCACCAGATCAGTTTTGATTCTCAGTCAAGAAGGAGATGTAGCTGTAAAAGCTGCTGTTGTTTCCCTTAACTTGTCTTCCTCACTTGACCAAATTTACCAAGCTGTGCGAGTTCCCGATGCTGGAAACCGGCCTGTTTTTCCTGCTTTCTTGGAGTGCCTTCCTGTCTGCCGAGGCTGCCGGCCTAACAGGTCAGTGCTTCATGCTGCACAGCCAACTGGGTGTGTGAATATGTGTGTGGCTCCGGTGTGTGCCCCTCCCTGACCTGGCAGGAGGTGAAATGAAGTCTCTCTTAAACAGTGTATGTGGATGGTTTGGGTGAGAATCAGCCTCTCTTGGGTACCCTGGAGAGAAAAAATAATAGTAATTCATCCATTTTGTACCGAGTAGCTTTCTTCCCCATTCTGTATTCTATTCTCCGAAATGCTTTCCTCTTTTCTCCTGGCTGGACAGGAGGCGTGTTGAAGAGACTGATTTATAGTGTGATGGATGACTTTTCAAATGGAAGTCTTCATTCAGAGTGTGAAAGGATACCCACAACTGTTTTGTAGAGAAGAGTGGTGGTTTTTGGTGGCTCTTAACAGCAGGTTTCAATGTAAACTGGCTCTCCAGAGTATGCACATCTCCATACACATCGGTGTTTGAGATCTGCACATATGTTCCACGGCACGTACGAAAACAAATAGCAACTGTGGTGGCTGTACAGTTTAATGTCTCTTAGCACAGAAAGTCTGCAGAGAGAGTCCTCCGATGTGGAACAGTTGATAGAGAGGGGGCAGTTCATTAGACCCAAGGGCTGCAGATCCCAGGATCTGGATTAAGCAATTAGATTGCCTGTCTGCAACCGTGAGGATTTGTGCTTGGGTAACTGCAACGACTGGGTGCTTTTCCATGCAGAAGAATCTCCGTGGCTTCCAGCAAAATGTTAATGCTGTTTCTCTCCTGGAGCCACATTCCCTGCTTCTCCCAGGTTTCAATCGTGGATCCCTTTCTGCTCATTACATCTCAACTGGCATTTGAGTGGTGAGAATCTTTCCTAACTGGTAGCAAGGTGTACCTCCCTGGGTGTTTGCATTTTAATAGGTGATACTTTAAGTCTAAATAATAATAAAAGTTGACATATATTGAGGGTGTACCATGAGCCAGATGCTGGCTAGCTGTCTTTCGTGGGTGATTTCATTAATCTATAGAAAGATTCAAAAGTAAAAGACTATTCCCAGTTTACTCAGCCAACCTTAAGTGATGGAGCTGGGATTTAAAAGTAGGAAATTCAATTTTAGATCCTGGGTTCTGGGGGACTACGCATTTCTGCCTCAAATGAAACTCCATCTGTGGAATATCAAGCAGACCTCTAACGGTAGGTAGGAGGGAAGTAGTTGGAGCCCCAGGCAACTGCCTGGTTCAGTTGCTCCTTGGCTGGTCTTGGCTCTCCTGTGAATGCCATGGCAAATCTTTTTAGTAATGATAACCTATTGCTTTAATCAACTGGCCCAACTTACTGCAGAGCCACACAGTCCAAGCTATTCCCATTGGCTTCAAGGGTGTCTGTTGCCAATACAGAAAGCCACCCACCAGTTCTTATGACACTATAATCAAGACTACATTACTGGATTCCACCCTACCAGGCCAGTGTATCTAAATTATTTCAATACAAAGTATGTTATTTTAGTGCATTGCTACCTTATTAAGGAGGTAGCTGGAAAGCTTATGCATTTCAGAAAAAAAAATAGCATGTGCCTTCAGTGAAATAATGTAGGCAGATCATTTACATCACAGTCGTTCAAAAAACATTAGTTCCCTTTCTTCCACATTCTGTATTCTATTCAAGTTTAACTTATAAAATGATCTAAGTAATATTAATAATAAGAAAAAATATTTGACCTTCTAGAAATGTAAGGAAGTATCTTAACTCACCTAATATTTTTTAATCTACTGTTGAATATTATAATAAACACACACACACACACACCCCATTGCTTTAGAATTGTCAATTTGTGTAAAAATTGTCTATTTGCTTGTCTATTTCAGCAAGATCTTGTTCTATCAACTACATTAAAGTCTAAGATCCATGGGAAACTGTATAAATTGCTAGTTTGCTTGATCCTTGCTCTTTCACACCCTTTCAACCTGATATCCTTACTGAGCTACCACACAGACCACCTTCTAAGGAGCCAGCATCATGGGATGGGTGAATATGAGTGTGAACCTCAGTAACAGAAAGACCCAAGTGTCCATGGCTGCACCCAGGGGCAGACTCACTCCAGAGTAGTCCACTAGATTTAGGCAATGTGCCTAACAGACATTTGCTACAAACCAAATTCTAGGTGTGAGCATTTTCCATTGCCAAAGACCAAGACTGCTTAGTCCAAATTACTTACGTGTTTGTTTGTTGTTTATTATTTAATCCTTGCCTATTTCCAAATTGGATTTGTGACAACTCATAACATAAGCCATGCACATCACAGGACCATTTAGTTGAGGGTAAACACTCAAGTGCTCTGGGACAGAATTTTTCTGCAAAATTAGGCAGCTGTTCATTGCTGTGGTTTGGCAATAAATATAGCTCTGAGCTTTCTGGCAGTCAAAGCCAAAAGGGAAACATGATGAGTTATATAGGAATAATACAGCATTATATTTTTTTAAAAAGTCATGCTTATTAAAGTGGGCAAACTTTATTTTTCACACTAAAATTTTAGGGGAATTTATCACATGCATCTGTATATAAGGGGCTTTGAACACCAGAAGAGACAGTGTATTTAACAATAATTTTAGGGAAGATGGAGGTTCATTCTTCATATGGTCATTTCTCATATAAACTTTCAAGAAAACCTGAGGGTGTGGCATCAAATTATAATTCTCGAATTATTTCCATGTAGTAATAAAATCATTTTAGTTCTAATGCACAGGTAAACTAATATGACACAAAACTAAAATCTAGAAAATTTTTAAAAATGATTTCTGAATGAATAGACAACAATGAATATAGTAAACTAAAATGGAAAGAGCTATTAAATAGTTTATGAGTAACTACAGAGGTAACGAGCAATCCTGGGGCCTTGTATGGGTTCACTAAAAACACTTAATGTAGCTCCTAGAGATGGTATTAACATGCAATGATTTCTCAGCAGAACTCCCCAGGCCCTGATCTTTCAAGGACACCTGCCTAGTGAGCAGAGCTCTCGGCCACCTACCCATACTTCACTCTTTTATTGGTTTCAGAAATTAGGATTTCACATACAATTCTATCTGAAAAAAAAATGTTCTGCTACTTTAAAGAAAGCACATCTGTTTTTAAATATATTTTATTTTTTTCTTACCCCAAGGTAATCCATATTCATGGTAGAAAATTTAGAAAATGCAGATTTACAGAAGGAAATAAATTTAGAATCACTTATATTCTTACTGAATATTAACAGCAATTGTTAATATTTGGCTGTGTCAAGCTAACTATATATATATATATATATTTTTATGCGCACATATATACTTTTATATGTGTCTCTCTATATATTCTTGTGTATATATATATATATATATATTTCTTAAGTCACTCACTTTTTTCATTCAACAATTTATAATGAAAAAAAATGCCATGAATGGAGCATTAAAAAATTTATAGTTAATGTTTTTCAAGACATTAAATACTCCATCATATGAACTTGCCATAATTTATTGTAAGAACCTTTTGATTATTTACAGGTTTTAATATTCTTCTTATTACTGCAATGATAATCCTTATAGCTAGAGATATAAATTTTTATTTATATAATCACCTAAAAATAAAATGTCTGTCTGGTTTAATAAAAAGACTAAAATTTAAATTTTTGGAGAAATTTATCCAAATTGTCTTTTAGAAAATTTGTATCCCCTTGCATTCCCACCAGCAATCTGAAAGCAAACTCATTCACTCACATCTTCACCACCCTATATCTTATTTTTTTTATTATTATACTTTAAGTTCTAGGGTACATGTGCACAATGCGCAGGTTTGTTACATATGTATACATGTGCCATGTTGGTGTGCTGCACCCATTAACTCGTCATTTACATTAGGTATATCTCCTAATGCTATCCCTCCCCTCTACCACCTCCCCACAATAGGACCCAGTGTGTGATGCTCCCCTTCCTGTGTCCAGGTGATCTCATTGTTCAATTCCCACCTATGAGTGAGAACATGTGGTATTTGGTTTTCTGTTCTTGCTATAGTTTGCTGAGAATGATGGTTTCCAGCTGCAACCATGTCCCTACAAAGGACATGAAGTCATCCTTTTTTATGGCTGCATAGTATTCCGTGGTGTCTATGTGCCACATTTTCTTAATCCAGTCTGCCACTGTGGACATTTGGGTTGATTCCAAGTCTTTGCTATTGTGAATAGTGCTGCAATAAACATAC